GTGGGAGGAGCCAATCCAGTCATCTGAGTGACTTGAAGTTCTTTTTGGGTACGCTTTGCTTTCCCCATGGACACTGGTCTCTCGAATTCTCTGTGATGATATGGAATACCTTCAAGGGAGTTGGGGGCCGGTGGAAGAAGTGCCTTCCACAAACTGGGTTGGTCACCATGCGATGCACTCAAAGATAAGGTCAGTTCTTATTCTGAGCAATATTTGAATCATATGGAATTCAGTCCTATCTAACCCCCAAATAATCTCTGTGGCACCTTCTCCTGCTTGGAATTCATTGGCTTGAATCACAAGGCTTATCTCCAAGGGTGGTCTAATTACTAAGAGGTGGTTGTTTAGGAGCAGAGGACTTGATATGATCGGTGACTCCGAAAGGATGAGGTTGACTTAGCTGGACATGGGCCTGGGCTCTGATGGCCTCTTCAGTGTGCTGGGACTTGAGGGCATCAAGTCCAGAAGCTTCTACTGGGAGGTAGAAATTAAGAATGGGAATAGCAGTGAATGTGCATGGTGGGGGGGGGTGGTGGTGTGTGCAGGGGAGATATGGAAAGGAAGGGATGGTTTGAGCGCTCCTCAAGAAGGGGTTCGGAGTTGTGAGGCAGTCTGAGAATATGCATTATGCCTGTACTAAATGCTGGACTCCCTGAGCCCTTGGCAGAATGCCTGCAGGGGGCGATTTTCCTGGCTACAGTGGTGAAGGCATCATCTCTTTCTATAACATGACTGATGGGTCCCACATTCTCCCCTTTGGGAAGCTTCCTTCCTCCTCTGGGACTCTGATCTTGGCCTGCCCTGTAACTAGGATTATATGATGTGTGATCTAGCAGCACCTAGCAAATATAGTCTCTTTTGGTCTTTATTTTCCTTGTAGCCTTAGCTATTCTTTAACCATTCACTCTTCTTGAAACTCATTTTTTAAATAATGATTGGAGCATTTCATTATACAAGTTTCTCCTGTGTCTTCCAATTCCTGTTCATTTTCTGTTTTAACCTATTATATACTCAAAGCCCAGTGTTCAGACTTCTAGTGTGGCTGCCCTGTACACTTCCTTCTTGGGGAAACCATTTTATTTACTCTAGGGCTTCAATTGCTATTTCTAGTTCTCTCAGTGTTTGTCCACCTCCTCCTTCACCACCCCCTCTTCCTCTTCTTTTTCCTCTTCTGCCTTCTTCCCCGCCCTTTTTCTTTTCCTTCCTCCTCTTCCTTTTCTTCTTTTTGGTGCCTGCTGTGGGGCTTTAACTCAGGGCCTGGGCACTGTTCCTGAGCTTTTTTAGCTCAAGGCTAGCACTGTACCACTTGAGCTGTGGCTCCACTTCTGGCTTTTTGGTGATTCATTGGAGATGAGAGTCTCATAGACTTTCCTGCCGGAGATGACTTCCAACCGCAATTCTCAGATCTCAGGCTCCTGAGTAGCTAAGATTACAGGTGTGAGCCATTGACACCCAGCTAGTATTTCTCTTCTTACACTCAGTAGTCTATTCTCTCTTTGTCCCAAAACTAGAACCTAGTTTGCACTGTTTCTCTCTCATCTAGCTTCAAAAGCTATGGAGTGTCTTTTAGAACTACTATCACCAAAATGATGAGCACAAGAGGCCCCCAATGTCTGTTTTCTAGATCTTTTAGAAAGCATGGAGAGGGGTGCTGGTGGCTCACACCTGTAATCCTAACTACTCAGGAGACTGAGAGCTGAGTATCGCTGTTCAAAGCCAGCCGAGGCAGGAAATTCCATGAGACTCTTATCTCCATTAAACCACTAGAAAACTGGAAGTGGCACTGTGGCTCAAGTGGTATAGAGTGCTAGCCTTGAGCTGAAGAGCTTAGGGACAGCACCCAGGCCCAAGTTCAAGTCCTATGACCAACAACAAAAAAAAAAGAAGCATGGAACTGTTCCTCCGGGCACATATACCAAGCTGTAAGACCGGTGATATTGTAGGCATCAAAGGGATTAGGAATGAAGGGTTAAAAATTAAAAACCTCACTTTACCATTACCATGACTAACTTGCTAACTGCTGATTTTACTTCTGTAAATATGCTTGCATTCAGACCCCCTTTTCCCTGGGAAATAAAATTGGGCAGTGACTCAAGGATATTGGCCGGCCCAGATGTCCGGATATCAGCCCACCCAGGACAAGGACAGCGGTTATAGATAGTACATGTTCTTCAGTTCCAGATTAATTAAGCAATCCCTGGGACAAACCTTGACAACGACCACCTGGCAAGACCACAAGCTGAGCCAAGTGTCAACCAATCATGGGCCAGTAACCATGTAAACCCCCCTTAAACCAACCATGGGCCAGTCATTTTACAAAGAGTGTTACAAAATTTCCCGCGTGGCAAAGTGATTGTTGGTGTATATGGTGACCTTTAAATGGACCAATCATGGGATGCTTTGTGTTATGCGTTAATCTTGTGGTTTTTGCCTTTAAAAAGGCTTGTAGCCGCTGCTTGGGGCTCCCTGTCTGCTCGGGACAGAGTCCGTTTGCGCAAATGTCAAATAAACTCTTGTTTATTGCATCTCCCGGCCTGGAGTCTGAGTTTTCTGGGGCGCCCTCCCGTTGACGAAAGTATCCTAGGTGACTAGGGTCTTTCAGGAACTGTTTGTGATAGTTAATCTTGTCAACTTGATTGATTGGATTGGGAAATGCCCAGATTAATAAAACAGAGTTCTTGGGTGTCTGTTGTGCCATTTCCAGAGATGATTGAATCATGAGGGCTCTGACCTAAATAGGAGATTGATCCCAATGGATTCTTGATAGGATGGTATTATTGGGAAATGATGAAAGGTAAGGTGTGGGGCCCAGTTGGAGGGAGGAGGTCACTGGGGGCATGTCCTTAGCCATTCCTGTATTCCTGATCTCTGCTTTCTGTCTGCCATGACACTGAACTATACCTCACCTACCATAATGGATTGGCACTTCTGATGTCATGATCTGAAATATATAATCCTTCCCGTTAAGTTGTACTTAAGTAAGAATGCTCTACAAACATGACCATGGTAAAAAGAGTCTATAACATTTCCCATCATGTTCTTGGCATTGTTATACACAAGCAAGTGAAGGGCAAGCTTCATGCCAAGAGCATCAGTGTGCACATTGAGTACAGTAAGCAGTCTCATGGGTAAGGCTGCTCTCAAGTGTGTGAAAGAAAATGATCAGGAAAAGAAGCCAAAGAGAACACCTTGTGAGATTCAAGAGGGAAGCAGCCTGAGCTGGCTGGAATGTACTTCCTACAACTTCATGGCATAATGGAGTGTATAAAAAACTTCTGAACTATAAAGTGCTTTCCATAATTGAGTAGAAATGTGGTATCCTTTCCCCCCCAAGCAAATATTGAAGGGAAAAATTAATCATGTTCTAGCTTATCATGGCATGTCTTTCCTATTCAAAGTATTTTTTTCTTGCTGGTAAATGAAGAGGCTTCTTATGAAAAAAATACACTGAATTGGTTAAAAAATGTTAGGGAGTTATCAATTGTTTTGTTTTCCTTCCTCCTACTGGTCACCACGAAATAGTGATTTCTTCTTGTTTCTTCTCTGCCACCCAAAGCTACGCTTCTTACTTCGATTTACTATTTCTAGTGTTTCTTTTCTTCCATCTATTTTGCACAATCCCAAGATTAATTTTTTGTAATGCAAATTTACTCACTGTCCTTCTTAGTCATGTCAGAAGACTTTCATCTTCCTGAAGAGCAAAATAAGAAATTCAGTTTTCTTAAATTAAGGCTATCACTCTACCACTTGAAGCTCAGCTCCATTTCTGAATTTTTGGTGGTTAATTGGAAATAAGAGTCTCATGGACTTTCCTGTCTGGACTGGTTCCAAACTGTAATGATCAGGTCTCAGCCTCCTGAGTATTTAGGATTACAGGTGTGAGCCACCAGTGCCTGGGTTATCTAAAGCACTTTTTTTTTTTTTGTCAGTTATGGGACCTGAACTCTGGGACTTGGCGCTGTCCCTCAGCTCTTGAGCTCAAGGCTAGTGCTCTACCATTTGAGCCACACCACCACTTCTGGCTTTTTCTGCTTATGTGGTGCTGAGGGCTTCATGCATGCAAGGCAAGCACTTTACCACTGAGCCACCTTCCCAGCCCTCTAAAGCAGTTTTGGACACTTTTCTTTTGTTGGGCTTGAACTCTGGGCCTGGGTACTGTCCCTCAGCTCTTCAGCTCACAGCTAGTGCTCTACCACTTGAGACATAGTGCCACTTC